CCTGTCCTTCACTGCCTCCCTGAGTTTGCTCAGTTTCATGCTCATTGCTTCAGCGATGCTCTCTAACCATCTCATCCTCTGGTAGCACTCTATAAATTGGTGTTTTTATAAGTCTAAATATAAAAATAGCTGCTTGGACAGCCATTCTGTGACCGGGAAAGCGGAATATTTTCAGGACTTTCCCATACCATGCTCTCAAAATATGGAACGTGCTCAACTACTGAGAATGCTGACATGATCAACTAAAATTCCAGTTAGTTTCTGTACATGGAATGTGCTTTGTTGTCCACCTCAGCAGGAAATAGCCACTGGAAGATCAGAATTCTCGCTGTAATGACAATTAAATCTAGTCACACCCTGGGGATATGAACACTAAAATAGTGCTGAGTTTTTAAAGAAGCTCAGGGTTCAAGTCTCTTCTTCAATCTGGAAATTCTGCTCCTGTTCCCACTCATATGCAAAGGAGCTGTACAAATTTAAGTTGCAGTACTCTGTTAATTGCCTGAGACTAAATTAGTGGGGCTTATGACAATGGGGTACCACTGAAAAAACAGCCCATGTTCAACTTCGTATTATTCATGGATCTGTTGTAGGCTGAACTCCAATACTGAGATAAAAAACATAGCGAATGAAGCTTTTGCATATTTCATATTATGGAGGCCATGGCCAAGAGTCACTAGAGAGGATAAGTCCCTGTGTATCTTATGAATTAATTGGCTTCATATCCATATGATAAAAAACCCATTCTCTAGCAGGACACGCCCATCTGGGATTCACTGCAGAGGAGAAAGATGCAATAGTTAAAAGAATACACCCTCATTTTGGTTTCTGCATCATAGCATACCATGATTTACCAATGTTAAAATAAAACATGGCTTAGCATGATGTATGAACCTAATCAGTATACTGTGTTTGTATCCTAACAGATGTGCAAAATCAAAAAATTACACTTCTTAGCAACAAGTCCAGTTTCTCATGAGGAAGTGAGAAAACCCACGCTTTTTGCAGAAATTACATCACTTATACAACATTTAAAAGTGCATGTTTTTCTAGGTCATAAGAAAAATCTCCAGAGGCTTATTATGGGAAGACCTTAATGGTACACATTTTGAGCCCCCTAGATCTTTTCATCAAGCAAGATGTTGTTAAAAATAAGTTTTAAAAAGCTAACTTCATGCTATTTTTTTTTTGTTTTTTTTAAAAGGGAGATTCCCCACTGTTCTTCATCCCTGTGGATACAACCCTGAAACATCACATTACAAGGTTGTCTGGCTGTATTCACACATGGCAGTACACCATTATGTGTCTTGTTGGTTGTGGTTGAGCCTCTTGTGTAAATCTGTCCAAATGTGTTTTATTGACTAAACCAAAATTCACGTTATCCAGATATATTCTCTTCCAGCATTGTCTCAGCAAGTCAGCCTTCTCCTCTCAGTTTTTGATTATCCTACCCTCATGAGTCTTCATTTTAATACCTTTTCCCGAACTGCAGTTTAGTTCTTTAAAATACTGGTACTCCATATCACTTATTGCATTAAACAATTATGGTAATGTCTTTGTCCCTGCAGGGAATCAATTTACTCTGTTGTATCCCAGCAACATTTTGAACCCTTCTCACGGCAGCATTTTACATATTATTTGCAAAAAGGCACAGTTCATCCCAACAAATACAGTAGTGCTCTCTAGTATTTTAAGGGGAGGGGACCTATGATCTGTATAATACGGTAAAATTTTCTCCATGTAAAAGGTGGGAGGAAAGAGGTGATGTGCTGAGTCATGCTTACCGTAATAAGCAAGATAAAAACGCATCTTAATTACCAACCTATGAGTATATATGACTTGGTACTCATGAAAACTCACCAGGCAAATTTTAGGATTTTTGAATGGAAAAGAAAAAGGCAGGTAGGCCATTCTGATTGCAGTTATACCATACAGTATTTCTATCTACTGATAGAGCTGAGAATAGGAATGTGCTCAACTGCAGCTGCTTTTTGGGTTAAGGCAATTTACACAGTAGTTAAAAGGATGCTCAGAGAAGGTAGAGCTTAGAGACAGAAACCTAGCAGAACTTAAACAAGGAATCTTCACAGGACTAGTTCACAAACTGAGGTTCAGCATCCCATTTCCTGTAAAGACTGCCGGACATTTGCCTCCTCCAAGCCCTTGAGCAAGGTACAAATGGAACAGTATGCTATCTGATATGCTGCTTCTAAACATGGAGGTTCCATTGAACTGTCAGCTTTTTCTTCCAAAAAAAAAAAAAAAGAATTTATGGCATGTGACAAGATAAACTTTAGGGCTAGAACTACTGGATGCCCCTCCTCAGCCTTTGGTGCCTTAAACTCTGTATATATAATTCAGTGTGTTTTTAAAAATGGCCAATTCTTACCATATGATTCCTCTAGATTGTAACTTATAAACTTATTTCTAGTGTGATGGTTAAGGTGTTATGACCTAACTGGGAGCTCATCAGCTGGCTTTGGGCACAGTCCAACCTATCTCACAGTGGGGGTGAAGATAAAATTAAAGAACTTCCACCTAAACCATAATCCAGATATAAATGCTAATTAAAAAATGCTCTCCAGGATAATTACATAGACATATCCTTGCAATTATAGAAGTATAGGAGTGGTTTGTGATTGCTTTTTCCCATAATCATCATCATTAATATTTTACTTCCCGTTGTAGCCTACAACCCTGTGATTTCCCTGTGATCTCCCATCCAAGTACTAGTTATTATTATTTAGAAATAATGTCCACTTTTACCCAGCTTCCGTTTGTTTTTCTTGTCCTGCATCTAGACCTGTTAGCCTTCTACTCCCATTGCACACTGGTTGGGAATTATGGGAGCTGAAATTCAACTGAGCTGGAAGGCGTTGGGTTGGGAAGGGTGTTTTGGATAGTGTTGTATTGGTTAACCATCCTCCAAGGCAGTGTTGCTTAACCTTGGCAACTTTAAGGTGTGTGGACTTCAACTCCCAGAATTCCCCAGCCAGGAATTCTGGGAGTTAAAGTCCACACATCTTAAAGCTGCCAGGGTTGAACAACACTGCTCCAGGGCTGCAATCCGGCATGTTTAGGTTGACTCATAACTGTTCCTTGCACCTTCCTAGAAAGAGTGAGAAAAGTGGGATCAAGGCCAAAGGGCTGGGCGGGTGACCCCCGCCACGGCAGGGGAACAAAAGAGAAACTCCCTCGGGGGGCCAGGGGCCCCAAGCAGAGCCCACAGAGACTGCGTTCAGACGATAGCCTGCTTCCTCGTGGTGTACAGAGCCGTGATCTCCTCAGTTTCCAATTTCTGGGGATTCGCACAACGTGCTGGCCTAAAACGTGGTTGGCGCTGCAAAGGCATGGATCAGTAGGTGTGTCCACCCGGCCAGCGGGTGCTTGCGCAGGAGGGCTGCAGCAGAACTGCGGTGTGGGGAAAGCCCCTATCCGGGCTAGGCTACCCTATTTCGGACATATTCTCCCTCAACAGAGAATACATTGCTGCGGGTTAGGCGGGAATTTTCCTGCCCTTCCTCTAACCTTTCGGACATTTTCTGATGCCCCTGGTTAAAACGCTGGGTTCTTTTCCGGGTTTTGCAGCAGTCGGGTCTCCGGCTCACGGTCCTTTTTTGCAGCCGGGGGAGGCGGAATATCTGTGCCGGAAGCTGAGGAGGGAGGGGAAAATCCGTGGGTTTTTTCAGTCCCGCCTGCGCCGCCTCCGCCCGCGCCGCCTCCTCCGCGAGCTCTCGCTTGTGTCACGGGCGCTGACGACAGCATCCTCCTCCGCATCCTGTCGCCATGGCAACCTTTTTGTTACCTCCAACGCTCGAGTGGTCCAGCCGAGGAGGGGGGTAGCAGGGGTGGTATATAGGCAAGGCTCGGGTGGGGGGGAGTCGGGGAAGGAAACTCCAGTTCCCCACCCAGAAAAGAGAAAGACTGGAGAAGTCCTGCGGGAAGGAGAGGAGCTGGAGGAGGTCAGAAGAAAAGAGATTTATTATATTTATTAATCTAAATTGTATATACACTTATAAAGAGCGGGCTATTTGGAAGGAGGAGACGAGGAAGAAAAGGCAAACCGTCTGGAACTGGAAACGGAGAAATCCTCAGCCTTCTTCCCCAAGGGATAAAGCAGATTTCTTGGCAGAGAAGAGTTTTGGGAACTATCCTCAAAGCCTCCGTTGAAAAACAGCACTGACTGGTAATGTTTTTCATGTTTCTCCCCCAAAGCTGGGCATCAAGAAATAACTGGAATTGGCATTGCTGCTTTTGTAAATTCAAAAGTAATTATTTCTAAGGTGGGGCCTGGGGGGGAAGGGGATACCAGGGTTGAGGAATTGAATATTTGGGAGTTGGATGGCCTTTAAGACTGAAGAAAACCCAATGAAGTAATCTGGGGGGAGAGTTGCCCCCAAATGGGGAGAGGGGCTGAGAAGAGGGGTGTATGGAATCCTATGTCATGACTGGCTGGGAGGTAGATCAACTTGTTTTAAAGCTGTGGCCCAACTACGGTAATTATTATGCCGTTACAAGACTTGTGACCCCATATGTGCAAAATATGACCAGAGAATTGCTTGGTTGCTGTTAAGTACCATGACAGTAGCGCAGCTCAATTAAATCTGGAGTAGATGAGTTCTAAAGGAAGGAGAATTGGAGATGAAGCATTATTTCAGGGCAGCTAAAGAGAGCTCAGAACTGAAATCAGATATAAAGGTTGGTGCCCTTTGAGAGAAATGGAAGAAAAGCGGAGCTGTGCCTGGGCAAAAGTCAAAATGGAGTTGGGATGACTGCTCAAAAAGTTGTGGTAAAAAAAAGATGTATTTGGCAAGCCTCTGTTGAGGAGGTGAGGTTGTGTTCTCAGACTGACTTATAGAGCATGGGGCTGAAAGAGATGGACAATTGACATTGGGAAAGTTTAAGTTTATTTCAGTTTTATTTATTTCTTATAATATTTATCGTTTGCCCAGCATCAGGTGAAAAAAGAAATGCAGGGATAGCTATATATATAGGGCAAATCATGCATAATAACGGAGTCAGGAGCAAGTATGTATATACAAATGAGAATGGTCTGCATGGCTGCATATTTTAAAGTTTGAAAACTGGATGATTCAGCATCATAGATGTATCTGTGGTGAAGAAAGTTTGAAACTGGGAGCTTTTGAAGGGAATGGAAGATGAAGGAATAAAGTAGGTGGCAGCTGGAATCAGGATTCCTAGAGAGCCCCTGCGGGCTGGACTTTTAATAGATCAAATTAGGAGGCAAAGCTAGGTAGGCAAGACAACTTGGAATTGGAAGTGGACATTTCAGAAGCAGCATATTTATTAGATCACCTTTATTCTACCCAAGATGTAAGCATACATAGGATGAAAAGGGGGAACCATCTTTTCAAAATCCAGGGTTAGGGTACAAGGTACAAGTTTCAAGGTAAACAAGAGGAACAAATTACACTTTTGCTGAGTGGCTCAGCCAAATTGATGCTGCATTGAATCCTATTCCTAAACAAAGAACTCTAATAGCATCACATTCTTAAACCTACACTCATATCCTAAAAGACCTTGGGACATTCAGGGGCATCATTTATATGCTACCAGCACACCAGATTGCAGTAGAAATCCCAATCTTCCATTGAGGACTACGATGTGCTGATAGGAAGGATTTTTTACTTTAGATCTTGTAGTCAACAATTGGGACAGGAGAGCAAACCTACAGGGAACAATGAATGCAAACTGGGCTTTTCTTCTCCTGGTAAAAGGTAAGGAGAACCTCTGGTGCCAAAACTGCCTTTCTCCCTTTGCACCAATCTTGGGGGAGCATGAGTCAAAATTTAGCATCGGAACTTTCCCCACCCTGATTTTTGAACCCATAGCTGTGGTGGTGAAAGTGGGTGGGGTGAGAGAAGTGACTGAGGAATGCGCGTTAGCAGTCCAGGCTGGGGAAAATCCTAGGGTTAGTAGAAGAGTCCACTGCCCCTTTAAGAGGCTGTCTTCTCCCTCCCCCATTCCTCCATTTTCCCATCGTCTCCATCTTCCCCCCCCTCCCCCCCTCCTGCGCATTATTCCTGCAGCATCATAGT